CGCGGTCATGCAACACTGCACCAAAATTAAAATTACATCCTTTTTATCCCACAAATTGAGCTTTCTTTCGGTGGTATTTGATCGCCTGTGCATTTTTATTTTTTGCGCTATAAAAAAAAAAGGCTGACAATTTTGAGGGAAAAAAAACAATATTTTGGACTTTTTGCTATAAAACATGTCCAGTAAAAAAATGTAAAAATCAAATTTAGTCATAAATTTCTGCCAAATTGTATTCTGTAACATGTCTTTGTTAAAAAAAAAAGTCCCAATACGTGTAAATTAATTGGTTTACGTGAAAGTTATAGCATCTACAAATGACTGGAAAGATACTGTTTTTTTTTTTATTATACTAATAATGGCGGCGATCAGCGACTTATGGCGGTGATCACCGATTCATGACAGTGATCAGCGACTTATGACAGGACTGTGGCAGACATTTTGACACTGGGGGGGACTGACTTGGGGTCACTGACATCCCCAGTGACACCAATACAGTGATCAGTGCAAAAAAAAAAAACTGACACTGTACTAATGGCACTGGGGAGGAAGGGGTTAACATTTTTTTAGGTAATGAAAGGGTTAACTATGTGAGGGAGTGTTTTACTAGGGGGGGGTGTGCTTCACGGGAACACGCTGATCCCGAGAGATAAACTCTTCTCTCAGGTTCAGTGTGCTCTGAACTGACAGAGAGCAGACTTGCAGTGTAAACACTGCAGCCATGCTGTCAGTGATTGCCGGTAATTGCCGGGAACCGGCGGGTAATGACCGGCCTGGACCCAGTAATGGACACCTGCTGCCGCGATTGGCGGGACTGGTAGGGCGGGCACGCGCCTCGCGTGCGCCCCCTACCTGTTTTGCAGAGCGCCGTTTAAAAACGGCATTCTGCACACAGGTGCTGCCCTGCTGCAGTAAAAACACTGTGGCTGTTCGGCAACCAGTTAAGAATTTAAGTCGTAAGGCTGAACATATATGCTTGGTTCTACAAAAAGGACATTCTTTTTGACGAACAGTGAGACCAATGACTCAGGGAGGTCCTGTTACAAACTTTTAGAAAACACTGGTCTTTAAAAGAACATTGTCTAATTGAAGAATCAAGAGAAGTCTATCTCTTGAGATTAGTCGTCCTGTTTTGGGATCCCAGTTTTCCCTTAAGTCCACGAAGTTGGAGCTGAGTGTGTTTCTGCCTTGGATCATCTCTGGACATGACCTGGGACTGGGGGTCCTTGAAAGCTCATTGGATCTCCCCGCAGTAGTAAGTATAATTAAAATGTTCAATTAAGTAATATACTGTAACTTTCATTTGCCTGACAAACTTTAATAAATGTTTCTGTTTAAAAAAGTAATATACTGTATATACAGTCAGGTCCATAAATATTGGGACATTGACACAATTCTAACATTTTTGGCTCTATAAACCACCACAATGGATTTAAAATGAAACAAACAAGATGTGCTTTAACTGCAGACTGTCAGCTTTAATTTGAGGGTATTTACATCCAAATCAGGTGAACGGTGTAGGAATTACAACAGTTTGCATATGTGCCTCCCACTTAAGGGACCAAAAGTAACGGGAAAGAATAATAATCATAAATCAAACTTTCACTTTTTAATACTTGGTTGCAAATCCTTTGCAGTCAATTACAGCCTGAAGTCTGGAACGCATAGACATCACCAGACGCTGGGTTTCATCCCTGGTGATGCTCTGCCAGGCCTCTACTGCAACTTGTCTTCAGTTCCTGCTTGTTCTTGGGGCATTTTCCCTTCAGTTCTGTCTTCAGCAAGTGAAATGCATGCTCAATCGGATTCTGGTCAGGTGATTGACTTGGCCATTGCATAACATCCCATTTCTTTCCCTTAAAAAACGTTGGTTTTGCAGTATGCTTTGGGTCATTGTCCATCTGCACTGTGAAGCGGCGTCCAATGAGTTCTGAAGCATTTGGATGAATATGAGCAGATAATATTGCCCGAAACACTTCAGAATTCATCCTGCTGCTTTTATCAGCAGTCACATCATCAATAAATACAAGAGAACCAATTCCATTGGCAGCCATACATGCCCATGCCATGACACTACCACCACGCTTCACTGATGAGGTGGTATGCTTAGGATCATGAGCAGTTCCTTTCCTTCTCCATACTCTTCTCTTCCCATCACTCTGGTACAAGTTGATCTTGGTCTCATCTGTCCATAGGACGTTGTTCCAGAACTGTGAAGGCTTTTTTAGAAATCGTTTGGCAAACTCTAATCTGGCCTTCCTGTTTTTGAGGCTCACCAATGGTTTACATCTTGTGGTGAACCCTCTGTATTCCCTCTGGTGAAGTCTTCTCTTGATTGTTGACTTTGACACACATACACCTACCTCCTGGAGAGTGTTCTTGATCTGGCCAACTGTTGTGAAGGGTGTTTTCTTCACCAGGGGAAAGAATTCTTTGGTCATCCACCACAGTTGTTTTCCGTGGTCTTCCGGGTCTTTTGGTGTTGCTGAGCTCACCGGTGCGTTCCTTCTTTTTAAGAATGTTCCAAACAGTGGTTTTGGCCACACCTAATGTTTTTGCTATCACTCTGATCTGTTTGTTTTGTTTTTTCAGCCTAATGATGGCTTGGTTCACTGATAGTGACAGCTCTTTGGATCTCATCTTGAGAGTTGACAGCAACAGATTCCAAATGCAAATAGCACACTTGAAATGAACTCTGGACCTTTTATCTGCTCATTGTAATTGGGATAATGAGGGAATAACACACACCCTGGCCATGGAACAGCTGAGAATACAATTGTCCCATTACTTTTGGTCCCTTAACAAGTGGGAGGCACATATGCAAACTGTTGTAATTCCTACACCGTTCACCTGATTTAGATGTAAATACCCTCAAATTAAAGCCGACAGTCTGCAGTTAAAGCACATCTTGTTCTTTCATTTCAAATCCATTGTGGTGGTGTATAGAGCCAAAAATGTTAGAATTGTGTCGATGTCCCAATATTTATGGACCTGACTGTATCTGCTCCTGAAAACTGCTGCTACCTCATATAAAACACTATATTTTCTGCATGCTTATGAACTTGCTATATATTTGAATTCTTAAATGGCTGAATCCCATTGTTAACAACTCAATATGTTAAGAAGGACTTCACCTAGTAGATTATATGATTTTGTATGTTGACTGGAGAGTATCTGATCACTGTTCACGCCCCTGGTGCTACCCGAAGACATGACTAATCCTTGTTTGGAGATTGTTGCTGTTTTAAAAGCTGTTTCCTTTAACCTCCAGGAACTGCCTGAGATGATCCCAGTAACTCTGCCAAAAGCTCATCCCAGTAGCATGCTTCTCTACTCTTCCATTGCTGAAGCTTGAAAGACTCCTGTGTATGCCTGGAGGGGAAGACCAATGATGCCAAGTCAAGGCGTGCAAGTTCCCAGCGAACATTGAGAGAGATCTAAAGTGCCAGCCTAAAGACCTAAATGGCCTAACCAGAAGGATGACATATTTGTTTCTTTTCAACACCAGTTCTAGTCTGTCTGTGGATTAAACCCACAACAGAAAAATCAGTTTGTATATACTCACATGTTATACTCACTGTGGAACCTAAGAGGTTAATTCTCTGCATTATGTAAAAATGCTGTTTGATCCTGACTTCTCTGATCCTCCCCTTCTTCCTGTGTCCTCCTCTTATTTCCTGATAAGAGGGGACACTCTGCACATGCCCAGTTTGGTTTGTATTGCTAGAGAGCTTTTTTTTTTTTTGGGGGGGGGGGGGGGAGAGTGCATGTAATTAGCACTCTCCCAAGTGAATCACCACTGTCCTCCTAGAGCAGAAAGAAAACTCCTCCTACAAGCTTTAACCAGTGCTCTTCTGAACACTGATAGAAGTCACAAGACTGCTCTGATGATGAGAAAAGGTATTTAGCAGTTTATATTTACTAAAGTAATTGAATGTCCATGTAGTGTGTACTGTGAGACCAGACAGAGTCCTGGGTTTAGTAGCACTTTGACTTCTGTTCCTTCTGAGAGGAAAGTTTTTATGGGGTGGTGGATCTCTTCTGGCTACATGAGTAGGTACAAAATCATTGGAGGTATGTTCAGGAAATTAACTTGAGGGGAAATGATGTGAATTTTGTACAAGTTGAAAACTTACAGACATTTGCAAGGCTTTGCCCTCAACATAACCTGCCACTGCCATTTTGATAAAGACTGCAATTTCTAACCTAAAGACTGTCACATCTTTTATCTTTTCATTGACATCTGCTATGCAGTAGAGATAATAGTTTAGATGACCTTCATTTTATGTCTTGTAATATGTCATATGTCAGTTCATTTCTACTGCTTAATCAGAACACTCGCCTAATCTGTCCTTCAACTGGTCATATGTTAGTCTGTATCTACCGATCAATCAATCATCACAGTTGTCATATGTGGCCTTCAGTCAGAAGGCAACAGGGGCTTTGAACTTAAAGAAAAAATTATGTTGAATATGTACATCTCATTGGCTCTGTAATATGTTACGTAGTATTAGCTCATGTCTTTGAGATGTAATCAGCATATAAAAGCAGTGGCACAGCAATCAGAATAATAATCTGCATACATCGTTCTCCCACAACAATAAACCTTCGTTTTGCATAGCAAGAAGTCTTCATTCTTTTATCAAGCCCGGACAGTTTGCGTGTGCAGGGATGCGCGTTCCGTGTATCCCCATGTGGGTATTCCTAACAGAGCTGTCACATGGGTTAAGGATGCATACGCCCTTTGTGAATGAGGCCTTATAACTAATAAGTACATAAGTGATATACATGACTCATTTATTGCATTTTGACATTCTTTTGCTTCAGTTCATTGTTTTCCAAATTGTAAAGCACTGTAAAATAAATGATAATTTATGTACACTTTACATTTTTAGAGTCATAATGTGGCAAAAAAGCCAGGTATTTTTATCTCTGTAGTTACATGGCTGTTTAGACATACTGTACATATGGTAAATCCTTTTGATCTGAGACCAAAAATGTATTTAGAAACATTTACGGTGGACAATAGATGGACCAGCTTCATCATATTCCTGTTTTGTGATCCACATTTGCTGAAAGGTGGACAGAGAAGCCAAGATGGAGCCCCCAATCCAAACAGAGTACTTTCGCTCAGGTGGAGCAATGATCTGTGAGACAAAATAAAGATGTTTAACCCTTTTGCTAATGAGCCAACTATTTAATTTTTCATTCATTTTCAGTCAATGCTTCTAAAGATTAGGTAACACCTCCAATATATATATTTTCTGAAAGGAAATATTCACAATATTCAATAAAAATTTAAGAAAAAAAGAAAAAGTACACAAAAACAAAATATCATCCCTATTTTTGTAACATATAAAATATAAAAATGTCTTGTGTTGATACCAAATACATTGCTCAAGAAAAATTAAAGGAACACTTTGAAAACACATCAGATCTCAATGGGGAATAATATCATACTGGATATCTATACTGTTATGGACTGAGATGCCCCATCGTTTGAAGGAAATGAAAATTATCAACCTACAGAGGACTGAATTTAAAGACACCCCGAAAATCAAAGTGAAAAAATGATGCAGCAGGATAGTCCATTTTGCTGAAATTTCATTGTAGCAACTCAAAGTGGTACTCAGTATAGCCCCCCGCATGCTTGTATGCATGCCTGACAACGTCGGGGCATGCTCCTAATGAGACGACGTATGGTGTCCTGGGGTATTTCCTCCCAGATCTGGACCAGGGCATCACTGAGCTCCTGGACAGTCTGAGGTGCAACCTGGCGGTGGCGAATGGATCGAAACATGATATCCCAGAGGTTTTCTATTGGATTTAGGTCAGGCGAGCATGGGGACCATTCAATGGCATCAATTCCTTTATCCTCCAGGAACTGCCTGCATACTCCCGCCACATGAGGCCGAGCATTGTCGTGCACCAGGAGGAACCCAGGACCCACTGCACCAGTGTAGGGTCTGACAATGGGTCCAAAGATTTCATCCTGATAGCTAATCGCAGTCAGGGCGCCATTGTATAGCCTGTAAGAAGTCACCATGAATATGCCTCCCCAGACCATCACTGACAAACCCCCAAAACGGTCATTCTGAACTATGTTACAGGCAGCATAACATTCTCCATGGCTTCTCCAGACCCTTTCGTGTCTGTCACATGTGCTCAGGGTGAACCTGCTCTCATCAGTGACGTGAAAAGCACAGGGCGCCAGTGGCGGCCCAGACAATTCTGGTGTCCTGGTGATTGGCAAATGCCAATCGAGCTCTATACCGGGTAGTGAGCACAGGGCCCACTAGAGGATGTCAGGCCCTCAGGCCACCCTCATGAAGTCAGAGACATTCACACCAGTGGCCTGCTGGAGGTCCTTTTGTAGGGCTTTGGCAGTGCTCATCCTGTTCCGCCTTGCACAAAGGAGCAGAAACTGGTCCTGCTGACCTTCTACGGACCTGTCCAGCTTTCCTAGAATAACTGCCTGGCTCCTAGACTCTCCTCCATGCTCTTGAGACTGTGCTGGTAGACACAGCAAACTTTCTGGCAATGGCACATACTGATGTGCCATCCTGGAGAAGTTGGACTGCCTATGCAACCTCTGTAGAGTCCAGGTATCGCTTCATGCTACAAGTAGCGACACTGACCCTAGCTAAATGCAAAACTAGGGAAAAACAGTAGAAAAGATGAGTAGGGAAAAAAATGTCAGTGGCCTCCACCTGTAAAACCATTCCTGTTTTGGAGGTTGTCTCATTGTTGCCCATTGAGTGCACCTGTTGTTAATTTCATTAACACCAAAGTAGCTGAAAATGATTAACAATCCCCTCTGCTTACTTACCTGACCAGATCACAATCCCAGGAATTTAATTGACTTAATGCTATACTCTGATTAAAAAGTGTTACTTTAATTTTTTTGAGCAGTGTATGTCAAGTCTGAAAACTTGTACACCTGCACAAGAGGCAAAAAAATATCATTGCTAAAACTAATAATTTTAAAAGCCTTTACAGCTCATTCATTTAAATGTAACCATATATTGTTATTTATTTATTTCAGGTATTTATATAGCACTGTCAGTTTATGCAGTGCTTTACATATATAGACTGTACATTCACATCAGTCAGCAACCCTCAAGGGGTGTACAATCTAAGGTCCTTAATGTACATTTATACATACACATACTAGTGCCAATTTAGACATGATCCAATTAACCTGTCTTTGGCGTGTGGGAGGAAACCCATGCAGGCACGGGGAGGATATGCAAACTCCAGGCAGGTGGTGCTGTGGCTGGGATTTGAACTAATGACTCTAGTACTGCTTGGTGGAAGTGCTAACCATTTAGCTACTGTGCAGCCCCAATTGGCCAGAATTACAGTTACCTTTGACTTTGGCATGCACAGTGACATGTAATATGTGTTCTGAAGTTGGCATTTATGTACGAACATGCAACCTAGGTGTGCATGTATGGCGGTGGTGTCGTCCTTTATTTGTTCTTTTTTCATCATACTAATATTCATTATATTTTTAAACACATTTATATTTTCTTGTTCAAACATTTTTATTAACAAAAGAGAAAACTTTAACAACACAATCAAGGAGACATTGTATATATACAGTGGACATTGAAGAGGCTATAGGACATTGAAGAAAAATGAATGAGGATCACATTACAGATGTCTATACAATGCAAGCAAAAGCAAGAACATAAGAGTCGGCAATAGATGACATTATCGTCCCAGCCAATCCAAGTAACGTCTCTTAAGTGCATTTAAGAAGTAGGGGGAAGTTTGGAGGGGGATCAGACGGGGGAGGAAGGGAGGGTATGGGACAAAAAAAAAACAATAGCGATGACTTCCATAGACAATCAGCTAGTTTACAGCAGACTCCATGAGTTGCCCACGGAGGACTATTGACAGTATTCTGGGCGCACAATATAGAAATCAAGGGAGAAGGAGTGATTCATCAAAGTTAGACGGGAGGAAGCGCTCTACCCAGGGGTTCCATGTGTGCAAAAATTTAGGGATCGTGTCAAGAATTGTGGCTTCCACCTTTGCATGTATCATGGCTTGTGTTATTCTGGATTTGACGGCAGCAACACTAAGGGTGGGGGGATTTCCAGGATTTCGCTATAACCTGCTTAGCCGCTGTTGTAACTTGCATAAGGAGCTTGAATTGCGAGTTGGAGACGCCAGGGGGGCACTGATTGAGTAGGGCTGTTGTTGGATCAGGTCTTAAAGTGATAGCGCTAAGTGTAGATAGTATGGTGAAAATTTCATCCCAAGAGACCCGGGCCACTGGGCAATCCCACCACATATGGTAGTGCGTCCCTAAGTCTGTACAGCCTCTAAAACAGTTGGGCGAGTAATTAGGGGTAAATTTTGCAATTCTCGCTGGGACCAAGTACCAGCGGGTTAAAAACTTTATAATTCGTTTCCAATGCTACAATGTTCTGCGAAGATGATTTTGTGTTAGCCCAAATGTGATCCCAGTCAGATGGGTCGAGTTTCAACACATTTATATTTTTAAACTAATTTTAAACTTTTTACCATTACAAGGGGACTGACATTTATGTGATAGTAAAAACAGTGTAGCAAGTCCTTTTAGGAAGACACATCTCCCCTTTAGGGAGTAGATTGGTTACAGAAAATCCCCAATCTGCCTGTCTTTTGCTGAGCAAAAACTGCAGGATGTGAACCCAAAAGTGCTTATAGCTGAGAACTTTTAGGTTCACTGCACAGAGGGGAAATTGGGAAACATTGGCTCAGCATCTTGAGATGGATTTTCAGTCTTGGGCTCTCAGGATTGGCAGGTGAGCCTGAAACTGTGGTTCAGAAAGGGAGTATGTGAGAGCAACAAATCACTGCTCTGTAAAGTGACTAGCCATATAATTTCATATAAAGAGCTCAGTAAGTATATAATGGACCATAGTGAAGGAATAATAGACACATTTTTGTTTTGAGGGCAAATATTTTTTAAGGTCATTTACCTTGATCTTCATTGTGCTTGGAGCCAGAGCAGTGATTTCTTTCTGCATACGGTCAGCAATACCTGGGTACATGGTGGTTCCACCAGACATGACATTGTTAGCATACAAGTCCTTCCTAATATCAATGTCACACTTCATGATGCTGTTGTAGGTTGTCTCATGAATGCCAGCAGACTCCATACCTAATAAATTTAGGTAAAATAGTATTAGTATAATCAAACTGTACAATTTTGGTTTTAAAATTGGTAGTAGAAACCATACATTACTATTTACCAATAAAGGATGGCTGAAAGAGAGTCTCTGGGCAACGGAACCGCTCATTACCAATTGTGATGACTTGCCCATCAGGCAGCTCATAGCTCTTCTCCAAGGAGGAAGAGGAAGCAGCAGTGGCCATCTCATTCTCAAAGTCTAGAGCTACATAGCACAGTTTTTCCTTTATATCACGAACAATTTCACGTTCAGCTGTAAAGTGGTGAATAAATTAAAGATTTCAATTTACATCTAAACATGATTAGATTGTAAATTACACACCCTAAACACATCTGTCTTGACATAAACGCACTTGCTTTAGTTACTTTGACCCTAAGCTCATAAACCAGAACCTCTCATCCAGGACCCTTTTTTGTGTATGCTTAATAATTTATGCATTATAAATGTTTTGAAAGCATGCTACTTTTATTGTATACTGTACTGAATCCATTAGATTAAAGGTCCTGCCAAGTCAAAAAGGGACCCGAGAAGAGGAGGATCCAGGTTGGTCTGTGCAAAACCACTGCACAGAGCAGGTAAGTATGACATGTTTGTTATTTTTTATTTTTTTAAAACAAGACTTTAGTATCACTTTAAGTAAACCCTTTCCAAAGTGAACAAATTCTATTTATTAAGTAAATCAACCACTACATGTCTTATGTGTGGATGATATCTCACCTCAGCAGTTACGTATTGCTGCATGTGCTATTTTACCCTTCCTCTAATCTTATGAATATGTTTGTTTAATAATCATATATTATTCAGAAAAAAAAAACAGAACAAGCATTTAAAAATGTATACATATCCACAATACTACATTAATATCGCAAAAAAATATCTCCCTAAAAAACACACTTTACTTGACTGTTAACTGAGAACTAAAACAGTTTTTATTTTACCATTATAGTTCAGGTAAAAGCATACCAGTTGTAACAAAAGAATAACCACGCTCTGTAAGGATCTTCATCAGATAGTCCGTTAAGTCACGACCAGCCAAGTCAAGGCGCATAATTGCATGTGGCAAAGCATAACCCTCATAAATGGGGACATTGTGGGTTACACCATCACCGGAGTCTAGCACAATACCTAGAGTAAAAAATATTAAAACTTTGCATTAAATAACAAATTGTTTTCAAAATTATGCAAATTTCTTTTTGACTAAATACAGTATGTGTGTGTGTTTGTGTATACACACACATATTTATTTTAACTTTAAGAAGGGAGGACAGCAAAAGCCGGAAGCAGGTAAAAATAGGTTTCTATGCGAGTAACAAAGTGGATCCACAAAAAACACCAAACTACTCAAAACGTAATACAAAGGGGTTAAAGCACAGTACTCATTAACTATAAGCTATAGCCAATTGCAGACATCCCAGCCCTTATTTTAGTTGTCAACCTGCATCATGCAGAAGAAATGGGTGATATGAGTGTTCATTCCCTAAATAGTTTCCTATGTACAAGAGATACTGGGACTGGCCAGTGAGGGATCACTTTGACATAGCTGTCCAGCTTGAACTTGTTTTGCACTATATGGTAAATGAGAATCCCCATTCTACAAGCAAGAGTTTGTTATAGGTGAGGGAAACACCTCCATAGTATCTCATGGTTGTATATATGAAAACTATTTAGGACCTAAATACTCACATCTCCATTTCTATTACATGGTGCAGGTTGGTATTTAAAAGGGCAGGAATATCAGAAGTTGCTATATTACTGGCTATGGGTTTATTGTGCTATAGCCGCTTTGTAGTACATACTATATACAGTACAGTACATACTATCTATATATCTTATATGTACACATTATATACATTATATGATCAAAAGTTTGTGGAAAACTGATAATCTCAGATACGATATGCCAAAAATTACTGTATGTGACACCCCCTCCTAATTTTGGCGTGCAGGTGTTTCCAATGAAGGTTCTTGTTAATGTTACAGCATGCAAAGAAATATTAAATAACTGTGTGCTTCCAACATTGTAATAGCAGTTTTAGGACATGACTATGCCCAAAAGTCAGGTACAAATTTATATGGTTTGATGAGCTTGGTGTGGAGGAACCTGAGTTACCGTGACCTATTGAAAATCTTTAAGATATACTCAAATGCCTATTGCGTACCAGACCTTCTCGTTCAATCTCAGTACTAGAGCTCACAAATGCTCATTTTACTAAATGGGCCAAATTCCCAAACACACTTTCCAGTGGAACCTGTTAGTGTTGTTCAGTTGTGTATCAATGCTCATGGTTTTTAAATGGCATATTTAACAAACTCGTATATTGTAGGTGTGATGGTCAGGGGTCCACAAACTTTTGATCATATAGTGTATGTGTGTGTGTTATCAATATTTACAGTGGTATGTACTGAAACATATATAAATTTTGGAATATATATTTAAAAAATTGTTACTCTTAGCTAAAGCAGTTGTTTCTTTTTTACTCACCAGTGGTACGGCCAGAAGCATAAAGAGAAAGCACTGCCTGAATTGCAACATACATAGCTGGAACGTTGAAGGTCTCAAACATGATTTGGGTCATCTTTTCTCGGTTGGCCTTCGGGTTCAGTGGAGCCTCAGTAAGTAAGGTAGGATGTTCTTCTGGGGCAACACGCAACTCATTGTAGAAGGTGTGATGCCAGATCTTCTCCATATCATCCCAGTTGGTGATGATCCCATGTTCAATTGGATATTTTAGAGTCAGGATGCCCCTCTTGCTCTGGGCCTCATCACCTACATAGGAGTCTTTCTGACCCATACCCACCATAACACCCTGAAAAAAGGACCAGGAAATATAAGATCAGAAATGCTGAACAGATTTTATCTGTAGCATAAAATATGTCTATATTACCTATAATGCACTGTGCAGATATTTTCCCCCAGAAAGTCTGATTTTTATCATTTCATCATTTCTCACTCAATAAATATATAGTTAGTCTGGTTGTAATAAGACAGTTCAATCATGTGAAAAAGCAAATAAAACAGAGGGACTATTATGATTTGTTACTGTGACCCGTAAAAAAACAGGTAGTCAACATTATTTCACCTCATTCACTAAGCTAGCAAAGTGAGCAGCCTAATTGCTTTTAGTAAATCAATCCCAATTTGTCTGAACGCATCTAATGTGTATCGATTAACCCTAGTGACTTGAAAGGCCAATAATTAACTCTTCTATTTTGATGCTTGTTATGGTTATGGACTCAGAGGGTACAGGTATGTAGTCCCTGCAGTTCTTGATTCTGGGCACACCCTCCCCATCCTCAAGGGATCTTGTTTTTTGGAACCTGTGTTCTTTCTAGGACATTCTACAGCCATCTTTGAGTGGTCAAACAATTCTGCTTCTGGAAACAACTACCCTCTCAATTCTGTGTATTCTCAAGACTGAAAAGTTCTAAAAGATTTCAATGTCCCACCTCATGTATCTTGGATTAGGGTTATTTATTTTAGAATGGGACCCAAACAAACACGTTGCTAGATAACCTACACTATAATGTAAAACCAGTTTTAATTAGTTAAACCCAGACCTTTTGTTCTCTATGTTGAAGTGTATGTTCATTTGTAAAGACAATTAGGCATACATAAATATCTGCTTTTTATAAATCATATAAAAATCTTACAATGAGAAGAAAAAAGGAAGGCATATACTGTACATTCCCAGTTTTGTTTAGCAAAAAAAAAAAAAATGCAAGGATCTTAGCACATGTATCTGCAGATTCATACTCTTTTTCAAAATTATGTCTGAAAGGAAGGGTCTACCTTCATTATAAAAATATTATACCTTCATAAAAAAAAAGCTGCTGACTTTTAAAATACAGCCACTTACCTGTCCCTCGGTCCAGCGGGGTCCTCACCACCGCTGGTTTCACCGGCCGTCTTCTCTCTCCCTGGCATCTTTAGTGTGGGCACCTGGCTGTGAAAGCTTGCGGCTTTACAGCTGGGTGCCCACTGCACATGCGTGAGAAGCACTGAGCTTTGTGAAAGGCCCCGTAGTCTTCTGAAGTCCCAGAAGACTACGGGGAGAGATGGAGGACAACTTCCGCTTCCGATCGCCTAGTCAAATTCGGGTATCCGCTCCCCCCCGTTCCCCAAAGGGGAGTGGGGACAGAGCATTAAATCGGAACTTCCCCTTTTGGGTGGAACTCCGCTTTAAGGAAGATAGCTGGAATGTAATTAATATCTGAGTGTGATCTTCTGAAAAAGGCAATGAGCTGATCAAAAAAGCAGAACATAAGATTTTTGTGGACATGCAGGCAAGCCTGCAATGACAGGGCCTGCAGACAGTTCTATGTTAAATGTTAAACATAACATATTTGTTTAACAATTATTATATTATATAATTATTTTAAGTAAATGTGAAGTTTTCTTTTGCGTATTCTGAAAATCTTATAACTCTTTTTTGCACAATTGCACAATCCATCTTAACTGTATTCCTTATTGAAAATTAATTGAATTAATATTAATACTTAATAAAATTAATACTTTTTCTAAAATATGCGTACCTGGTGACGGGGACGCCCAACAATAGATGGAAATACTGCCCTTGGGGCATCATCTCCAGCAAATCCAGCTTTTACAAGCCCGGAGCCATTGTCACAAACAAGTGCAGTAGTCTCTTCATCGTCACACATGATGGTAGCTTTCTTTAAGAGTAAATGAGTAAACATTACCAACATTATAGATTACCAACCATTACCAACATTACCAAAGATGCATGCAATAGTGTATAACAAATAAGGGTTGTTAGTTTAATGGTAGCTATAGCTGTGTCTGTCACCATCTTTGATCTAGGATCTTGGACTGATCTTGGAACGTGGCACATTTGGATATTTTTGATTGATTGTTAGTGTTTTATCCAAGATTGAGCCTACGCTGATGATGTTTTCCTGCACCTGGAAAAAGTATCCATTGCAGTGGGGCTCTGCAAGGGTTAATTACTTATTTAGGTCTAGGGGACACATAAAAGATATATTTGCTGCCAGACTGGTCCCCGCAGCATCTTCTCCCCCATGCTCCAGTGGTCTACTGTCCTTATGTCATACCCCCCAACAGTCCAAGATTGAGCAGGACTTTCCCACATTTTCACCTTTGTCCCATGGTCCAGGTGTACAGGGGCTTTGTCTCGCATTACTCTATCTATTCTTTATATGCTAACTTAGAGCCAAGCAGGACCTGCAGTAGTGTGAACATTATGCACATCTAGCACAGCCAGGGATAGACGGGCAAGCCAGCAGTGCTTGCAGCTGCAATGAGAGAGAGCATGCAGCTGTCAACTCAAACCTGTGATGTCGGGGATGGGCGGGGCCAATATGCATTTCAGGGGCTCTGCCCCCTTTGTCAAACCAGCACTGCATAGACAAACAGCCGACTTTTATACATTGCTGGCTAGGGAAGATGGTGACAAGAGGCAGGACCAATATGAACTACTGCATGTGCACCCGCAGCAGTATATAATAAACCTGAATTATACACCGTTGTGGGTGCACATGCAGTAGTTCCAATTGGCCTGCCCCTTGCCACCTTTTTCCCGGTTGGCATTGTATTAATGCCAGCTTTTTCCATAAAAAAGGGGGCAGAGCATATCAGCCCCGCCCATCCCAGACATCACAGATTTGACTTGACAGCTGCACTCTCTCTCATTGCAGTCGTACCCCAGCCAGCTTGTTCGCCAATCTCTGGCTGTTCTAGATGTTCACACTGCTGCAGGTCCTGCTCGGCTGCACTCATTTGTTATCCATATGATGCCTGCATTCTTGCCTCAGCTCCTGTATGCTGTTAATCAAGATTATAGACGTAAGTGTATCTTTAATTGGTGTCTTTGCGGTTTAACAAACTTCTGAACCTAGTACTCTGTATGTATAGCATCCCTGAATCCTGCACTCTGTATGAAATGCACACCTGCACCTTGCACTCTGTACATAGCACACTCCTGAATCCTACACTCTGTGCATAATGCATTCCTGAATTCTTCCATGCTTTGTGTAATGCCCTCTTCCATAGTCTGTGCAAAACCATTTGTAATGGAAGCTTTTTATTCTTTTTTCTAAATGATTGTGCTGGGATTTGTGTCCGTGAGAGTCTTGCTTGTGGCACAGCAATCAAAGCATATTTTAAAAGTACAAGGAAGGCCAAATTTTATTTAACCACGCTCCTTAGGCCTCTCCCATTGTTAAGCATTTGGCCACACCCATTTTTGCCATGGCGCGCCACAGGTCACTTCCTCCGTCAATTGTCCCTCATTTTGAAGTTCAAAAATTGGGAGGTATGCTGAGGTTATCATGCCCACTGTAAAGTCCACAGTCCAGCATTGGATGTGATGATGCCAAGGGACAGTCCACTGCTGGAGCATGAGGGAGCACCAGGGGAGTGGAGGATCAGATAAGTAAAAGCAGTTCTCTTCTCCCCTAGACAAAATGAGCAGGTACCCTTGCTGTGTGTGTGCAGCCTCACTGCAAGGGATCATTTTAAAGTTTCCAGAAGTTGGACTTTAAGGCATCTCCTTTTATAATAAAACTTTCAGTCTGACATACTAGCCCAACACAGTCCAATGCTTTCCTGATCGTTGTTAGCCATGGTCAAATTGGGCCTTGTAGTGTATTTAAGACCTTAAAGTGTATTTAAAACCATATATTAATTTCCACATTTCATTTCAATTATTTCTTGCCTACTCATATTAATCATAATCAATAATAAACAAACTGAGTGTCACCCTAGGACAGAACTACAGAACACCTCCTCCTCTCATCTTCTTCAGTACACAGAGGAGCTGTGTAGTCTTCCTAAAGAACCGTGAACTATTGTAGCAGGTTCAGCACAAGCATAAAGCACAGAAAGGCAAGCATTAACAAGATTTCTGGTACTTTGTACAGGTATTTTCTTTACACATGTCAAACAGAATTAACTAAAAGGTTTCAATTCTGTTATTTATTCTCTTTTGGCTTGTTAAAAACACAAGTTAATTGTTAATATGGCCTTACATCGTGCAGTCTTTATAATCTTCAGTATGACCAGCTTTAGGATTTACATTTAAAACCCAAGTTGAGTTGCATAGAATGGCTATTAACCTTTCATGTGTTCAGATTTCAGTTTTTTATTAAGAATAAAGGTATCTCAAAAAAGCTAATTCTGTAAAATAAACTGCTCTTATACTAAAAGACTGGCAGATATCTCATTGAGAACAATAGGCAAATGGATATCTTCCAAACCTCTCTTGTACTTACACCTGCTGCTGCAGTGACGTCCCTAGCATATTTGACACCCAAGTCAGAATATTTTTCATACCCTCCTTTATACCTTAATATAATTCTCAGTAATAATAAAAAACATTTAACTGGTAGTAAAGTCCCCTATAGTAATTTGTACCTACAGGTAAGCTTACCTGTAGATATTACTTTATTAAAACGTGCACCATTTAAGCAGGTATAAACATCGGCAATTGCTGATGACGTTAGTTGAACGTGGGAAGTGACGCTCTGCTTTCATGACACACAATATTCTGTTGAATGCAGAGTGCCATGCCATGGCCGGGACTCCCACGCGCATGTGAGGGGGGTGAAGTCATTGCGACCCCGGCAACTCAAACAGCCAGAGGCCACAAACCCAGAAGGAAGACTGGGTGAAGATGGAAGTGCTGGGGGATCTGTGACAGCGCTGTGCTGGAGGGCTCTGTGTGCAGGTAAGTGTGTCACAAAGTGCTAGTATGTGATGCATACCAGCACATTATGGGATAAACCAGTGGGGGACCCCTTTTTTTTTTCTTTGTGGTCTATTACTGTTTTAAGCAAAAAATAAAAAGGACAGAAAAAATAGTAACTGAATTTTTTTTAATCCAAACTCTGTAAATTTAGTCATGCTAGTGCAAAAAAAGAATGAAAATGGAAAATTCAAGGGTTTAACCACTTGCCTACAGGGTGCTTTTACCCCCTTCCTGTCCAGGCCAATTTTCAGCTTTCAGCACTGTTGCACCTTGAATGAAAATTGCGCAGTCATGCAACACTGTACCCATACAGTATGACATTTTTATCTTTTTTTTCACTTTCTTTTGGTGGTATTTAATCGCCACTGGGTGATTTATTGTTTTGCTTAACCAATTATGGGCATTGCCCATAATTGGTTAATGACATCAGCTGTATCCCCAGCATTTATGCTTACAATTGATGCAGAAGTGAACAAAAAGTAGATTCCACAGAATCAACAGTGCTCAGCCCCAGTGAAAATCTGTGCAATTGATCAAGGGAAATACGAATATATGGCATTAGAGCAAAAAATCACCATCCTCATCGAAACATCATCATTACAAATATAAACTAGTTGAAAATGAAAAGACAGTGTATCAACGTGGGTGGCCCAAAACTAATTATAAATCAACTGATCTAACTATGCAACTGCTGCTGAGAAACCAAGAGGGGACACTCCATTTAAGGTACAACTAGAAAATAGAAAACAGTGCAGGCACTCAATAGTGTGGTGTATTAAAACATTCTGAATTTATCAAAATGCACTCACAAAACTGGCTTAGTGGGGTGGGTTTGGCATACTGGAGGTGTGAACTAGAGAACAGACAGCTGGAGATGGTAAGCGCCCAGCCAAGGGCCAAGTGTTTGAAGAGGTGACAACATCTTGAAATGCATTCTGACTGCGCACACACCACAAGTGATGTCAGGTAGAGGAGGTCCCTTGGTTGCAGCTTCACTTCTGGGTTTCGGATACCATCTGCAGCGGCACTGACATCTGCACAGCGGTGCTGGTGTCTGGGTTCTGTCCATCCCTCCATGCCTGTGGCCAAGGCTGGATGTTCATCTCCGGTTGTTGGTTACCCAGTTCACACTTCCAGTATACCTACCCACCCCCAATAAGCCACATATGTGAGTGCATTTTATCCATTTAATAAAGTCACGCAGTTTCAATATACTCCACTATGGAGTGCCTGCTTACATTTAGCTTTTGACTGAGGAATCTCCTGTCAGACAGCTAAATGAGGCAGGTGATAAAGCACTGTTCTAAAGGCTGTCATAAACATGACAACTTCCCAGCACAGGTAGGGCACAGTACAGAGGAACGACAGTACTCAGATTTGGTTTTACCACCAGTTTCCTAAACAGAGAACTGGTGGTAAATCCTCAAGAATTTGTTGCTGCCACAGCGATAGATTTTTAAGGTGACAGTAGTAAGAGCAATCCAAATTAAGCTGCACACATGTGTAATTTTACTGAAACAGGTGCAAATGCTTGCCTGAATTAGGCATAGGGAGTTCTTATGGGGACTACTGCTGGAGAGCTGTTGTTGGGGTTATTTTGAAGTCCACTGATTGTCATCTGGCAACGGGACTTGCTGCTGTCAAAATACACTGATCAGCGTCTACAGCCATTGATCGATAAACGTTTTCAAGTATGCCCCTTCAACAGAAGTCAAGCAAACAATCACCTTCTGTCAAGCAGGGGCAGTCACACAGTGATTGAAATTTGGACGGTCCCTGCAGAATTGGCTTAATTTCGATCAGTGTATGGCTAGCTTTACTATTTTCTTGCAGAGATATCTACCTATGACCAGACTTTTTCATTTAATGTGAAATATTTTACATACTTACATCATGCACACATTTAGATCATGCACTCATAAATTAAAGTGTATATCAGAAAACAAAATTGGAAAAACACACGCAGTACAACTGAATATGTATTCCTGATTTGTGCCTGCTGTACCATGTACTTTTATGAAAGTTATCCTGTTTTCCTTCTATTGCTTCCTTTGTGTGAAATCCCTGGTGTTCCTGCTAGTCCCTATTAAAAACTGACTGTGCTAGGCAGGAGAGCACACTGTGGTCAGCTCTAGCTATTCTGGGAACCCAGCGTGCTCTCTTCCAATGATCAAGACTTCTGCTGGCAAATCCCCCCCCAGCATAGCTTTTCATGAACAGTGATCATGTAAAAATGGAGTATTTAATGTTTTTTATATCTGTACACAAATGTTTTGCTTTTTATTTCTATTGTAACCACTTATGGACTGCCCCATGTATTATATTTTTATGGACACTGACAGGTGGCACTGCTGGGGCTACACTGATCAGGTTTTCAAGGGGGCAGTCCGTAAGTGGTTACAACAGAAATAAAAAGCAAAACATTTGTGTATACAGTAGATATAATATTTATTTGATTGCCCCTAGATGTTAACTCCTTCCCAGCCAGTGTAATCAGTACAATGAAAGTGTATATATATATAAACTATACATATATATATACATACAGCTGTGGGGTGGCCATATTGTACTGGATCACGTACATCCAGCATTTCCGGGTAGGAAGCATGCACACACACATCTGCCGCCCCATCTGTGCTGTCATTTGGCACAGCACAAGTCAATCAGCAGGTCCCGGCCAATGATTTATGGGTCTTTTTCCAGCAGGACAATGACCCCAAACATACGTCAAAAAGCCTGGAGGTGGACCTGTACATTGAACACCTGTCACAAAAACTGAAGAGTCTTAAAACAGCTGTTGGCTAATTTTAAAAGGTGTCCTTCCATATAATTAACCTGGAGGCCGAAATTGTTTGGCAAAGGAAAAGTGTCCGGCTTAGCGAATAACAGTACAGAACCCTGTCACAAAAATCCATCTGAAGAGTGCAGCGCTTTCTCAAATTATATAATTAACTATATATGTATGTAGGTAAAATATGGTGGAGGTTCACGGTGCGGTGCACAGTAGGTATAAAGTGCTATACGTGCAAACCTGTGCAATGTGCAAATAATAAATAACAATAATTTCCATATGATGTCAATCAATCAATATATGGTAATAAATATTGTATACACAATTCAATATTAACTGCCTCCCGCCCGCCATATAAGGTAATGACACGTGCAAGGCGGTTCTCTCGTTCTGGGAGGACGTCATATGCACAGCTCCAGGAGTGCGCAGAACGGCGATTGGTGGTGTGCTGTGTCCCTCGGACACAGTGGATCACAGATCAACGGAAAGAGCTGAAGATGTCGGTTCGGTTATGTGATCAGCTGTGTCCAATCACAGCTGACCACATGTAAATAGGGAAATGCCGCTTATCTGCATTTTTGTCCTCATGACCACATGTAAATATTTTTCGCCTCATGAGCTGTCACGCTGACAGCTCAAGAGGAGAGGAGAGCCGGTAATCGGCATCCCTCAGAGGGGACATGTACACTGATCATCAGGGCAGTGATGATCAGTGTAGCCCCAGCAGTGCCACCTGTCAGTGTCCACCAATGCCAGCTGTCAGTGCCCATCAGTGCCACCTGCCAGTGCCCATCAGTGCCTCATCAATGCCACATATCAGGGCCTACTAGTGCACATCAATGCCACATATCAGTGCCCTTTCAGTATCACCTATCAGTGCCAGTCAGTGCCACCTATCAGTGCTGCCAATCAGTGCCGCCTATCAGTGCCGCCTATCAGTGTCAGTCAGTGCCGCCTATTAGTGCCCGTCAGTACTGCCTATCAGTGCCGCCTAACAGTGCCAATCAGTGCCACCTAACAGTGCCAGTCAGTGCCGCCTTTCAGTGCCCATAAATGATGCCTGTCAATGCCCATCAGTGCCACCTACTACTGCCTCCTCATCAGTGCCCATCTGTGCCACCAATCAGCGCCCATCAGTGCAGCCTATCAGTGCCCATCACTGCAGCCTCCTTATCACACATCAGTGAAGGAGAAAAATCACTTATTTACAAAATTTTATAACAAAAACTAAGAAAAAACTTTGTTTTTTTTAAATTTTCAGTTGTTTTTGGTTTGTTTAGCAAAAAAATAAAAAACCCAGAGGTGATTAAATACCACCAAAAGAAATCTCTGTCACAAAAAAATTATAAAAATTTAATATGGGTACAGTGTTGCATGACCGCGCAATTGTCATTCAAAGTGCGAAAGCGCTGAAAGCTGAAAACTGGCCTGGGCAGGAAAGGGGTATAAGTGTCCTGTACTTAAAGTGCTATTGTGCAATTTGTGCAATAAGTGGAGATAAAAAGTCCATAATTATCATATGTATTCAAAAAGGTATAAATAAATGAACGAGAATTTCAACAGGAATTGTCCATTCAAACGATAAATCCTGTGCCAAAAGTGCAATGGTACATGTGTCTTTAAAAATATCCACCACTTCTTATGGGTACACACACTCACCAGGGCATACCCCTTAGGACGTACTGTCGCACGAAACGTGTTGGGTGGAGCCAGATTACTGACGTCACGCTGTCGACTCCCGAGCAAGGAGCGGCGGCCATTTTTGGTACTTGTTTCATTTCTCCACATGGAATGCTGATTTTGTGCTGATTTATGTTTACTTACCATGGAATACTAATAAATACTACACTATATGAGAAATCCCTTTGGCTCCTGTGGTTGAGCAAATCTTCCCCAGATTTAAAGAGGCATGCTCTACTGGTACTGAGAGGATGCTGGATTAACCCTTAACCTTTCCTACTACCCCTGTACCCAGATGTAACCAATACATCAGAGTTCTGGTGAGTGCACACCCATAAGAAGTGGTGGATATTTTTAAAGACACATGCACCATTGCACTTTTGGCACAGGATTTATCGTTTGAATGGACAATTCCTGTTGAAATTCTCGTTCGTTTATTTATACCTTTTTGAATACATATGATAATTATGGACTTTTTATCTCCACTTATTGCACAATTTGCACAATAGCACTTTAATATTGAATTGTGTATGCAATATTTATTACCGTATATTGATTGATTGACATCATATGGAGATTATTGTTATTTATTATTTGCACATTGCACAGTTTTGCACGTAGAGCAATTTATACCTACTGTGCACCGTCTGCATACATATATAGTTAATTATATAATTTGGGAAAGCACTGCACTCTTCAGTTTTGTGATTACGTTACCAGGGATTGTTACCCATACTCTTTTAGTGCTAGTGGCTATCTGGTATAATTATTATTATTTTATAAATATCCTATGTGTATGCATACAAAAATAAATGTGGCGCTACTCATATATCCCAAAAATTTTTTGTATGAATTTAGTTTCAATCACGGGTATATTATTTAATGTTGGCAGCTTCTCCTTCATTCTTTACATTAGATTAGTAGCGCAGGAAGTTCACACCATTATTGTTCATCCTCAATGCGCTCACTTATACTTTCTTGAAATAAGTACAGAACCCTGTATTTACTCCAAATCAGAGCTCTGTACACAGAGCAGAGATGTGGCTGTTTTTTTTTTGTTTTGTTTTGTTTTTTTGCTTTATTATTATTATACAGTATTTATATAGCTCCAAAGGGTATGCTCAGTGCTGTACAGTAGGGTAAGATTCACATCTCTTGTAAAAGCAGGACACATTACACGTTAGACTGGTTAGGCACACAGCTAACCCTTTGATTGCCCATCCCAATGTTTACTCCAGTATTATCACTGATCACTGTATTAGTGTCACTGGAGGTGTCAGTGTCACTTAGTTCCCAACCAGTGTCAGTTATGGTCAGATTGCCTTACGCAGTATGACAGTCCCACTATAAGTCACTGATCACTGCCACTACTAGTATAAAAAAAAAAAAAAAAAAAAAAATTCCAGTATATATACCATCGTTTGTAGACACTATAACTTTCACACAAACCAATTTATATACACTTATTGGGATGTTTTTACCAAAAGCATGTTGGAAATGTTTTATAGCAGAAAGTAAAAAAAAATTATTTTTTTTTGTATTTCTGTCTTCTTTCATTTATATAACAAAAAATAAAAAAAAATCAGTGGTGACCAAAGGAAATCTCTATTTGTGTGAAATAAATGTAATTTGCGTACAGTGTTGCATGACCGTGCTATTGCCAGTTAAATTAGCGCAGTCCAAAAAATTCCCTGGTCATGAAAGGGATAAAATCCTCTGGTGGTTAAACTGATTTGGTACTTTTGTAAGGTGAGGATTTACAATCACTTTAAGACTTTAGACTGTTGCTAAATATAGAGCAGTCTTTTTCAACCAGGGGGTGCTCTCAGTTTTTTTCAGGTGTGCCTTGGCAAAATACCTAAAAATTGCTGAAAAACTGTATACAAGCCATTGAGTGGATCAAACCTACATTTTAATTACAAAAAGGTTTTTATTGTGCACGATTACAGCATTCCAGCCACCGGTATCCTAACAACCAATTATATAATTGGTTAATAAGGAGCCTAAGCACAGAATTTTTGTTTGCCCATCCCCTGTTCCTCTCTGTCAGCATTGGACTAACAGTTGAATAATGGAAAGAAACTGAAGAAGAGAAACATTAGAACACTAATCAATACCAGTGTACAAAGGTGTATTTGCCTTGGAAGAATAAATCACCTCTAATGGAAAACCAGAGAACTGGTTTTCCATTAGTACTACTAGTGTGGAAGTTGCTTAAACTATTAGTTTAGTTGAACACTGATATAGAGCATGGTGATTGGAGTCTTCAGTGGCCTGACACACCCCCCTACCTAATGCTCCAATCAATACCTTCACCAAGGAAGTGTGAGCGCTGTTGATCAGAATACTGGGCAGGTGGTGTGTTGGACCACTGGAGACATGGACCGCTGAGCTGTGTGTTTGAGTAGAGGTCTGGTTTTCTAGTGTGCGTCTTCAGCAAATACTACTGCTAAAAAGTGTATATAGCCTAACTGAATTAAAAGAAGCCTCAATTGGTCTTTAATATGTAGAAAGCATAAATCTCAATGTATATATATATATATAAAAACTCACCTTTTTCAAGTGTTTATAGCTTATATAATAATAATATTAAGATATTAAGGATGTGCAAAACTTAAGTCAACTCTATCTTTTTAAATAATTATGCAGTTGTCATCTGTTCTACCATTTAAAATATAAACGTTACTGACACGCCTAACATTTAATTCACTGTATATAAATCTATGTAAGAGTAAACAATAAAAAAGCAATATAAACTGATCTAGTTGGTAGTAACTTATTTGACTGTCGAGGCTGTGACCAACGTGGTCCTGCAGTGTCTGGTATGTTCAGTCCTTCTCAAGCACAATCATTCATTTCTTTTCCCGTGTGACGTGCAAATACTGCAGTGTTAGTACTATGAGAACACAATTCCTAAATTGCAAAGAACCTATAAAATTGTGACTCGCTTTTTGTTTGTTGAGGGATGTTTTATATGTTTCGTAATTATCCATTAATAAACTATTGTATTCTGGCGCTGTAATTATGTTTACACTATCGATTTAGCATACACTTCTATTATGCTGAACTCCTAATACTGATAATTTTGGTAATACTTGTTATTAGTTGTTATTTTCGTTTAGTAGCTCTTCATTCTCATTTAACTTCCACCATATCCTGTTTCGATTGTGTGACTAAGGTAAAATAAAAATTACTTAGCGCTGTCCCTCCACGTGCAGATCTCGCTGCCACTCTCATTCAATTTGTTTTTTTTTTTTTTCCTAAATATTTCCCCCTTGCTCTATCTCTCCAGACTCGGGGCCGTGTTCTTACCTTGGTCTCCGGTCCGTCTCAGGCAGTGCTAACTCTCCAGCTCGCTCAGGTTACGGTCCAGTATAAAGGGTAAGAGTATATATATAACCCATGGCCTTCGCTGCCCACCCTTCCTCCCTATGATCTCTTACTTTCTGTCTAGCCATATTAGGTTCTTGGGCACCGACCTTACCCCCCTTGGGCGCCTTTACTGTCCGCAGGGTGCCCATACAAGGTCAGTCTGGCCGGGCACCAGGTGAAAAGAGGCTGGAACCGTAAAAGGATTCACTTCGGGGCTCTAGAATGCCAGTTCTTCCTGCCAGTCCTGCGGCTGACAGAGCAAGGAAAGAGGGCGGATTTGTGGCATGCAAAGCATGTCCCGATAATCCCCCTGTACTAGAACGCTGCAGGAGATGGTAAGGGACAAAGATTTAAAATGGCACAAATGTCGTTGACTAATCACACACAGATATTACAGTATCGGACCCAGCACAGAGTAGTTGAAATACCTAATTATTCCCACACCTCTGATTCACAAATGTTAAAAATACCAATGTTTCAATGTGCTCCATGACAGCAAACCCGACCTTTTTATTAAATAGCTGCTGAATTTCTAGTTTAACTTGTCAGTGCAGGTTAATAATAGAAAAAACAATTCAATCGCACAGAGGATAATATTCTTCACTTTATGGGTTGTTTGGAGTGAATAATGTGATACACGAACCCTAGTAAAAATTTCTCCCAGAAAAATACACCACAGTTCAACAATTCCACAATATGTGTTGTTTGCCAGCCCTAAGCTTTTATAATAAACTGCACCATGGGAACACTGAAAATCTCATTATAAAAGTACCACTTTAGTAAAGATATTGGGGGAATTAATAAAGTGACAAGTTCTATCTCAACTGGTGCCATTGCCAGTGATAACCAACCAGTTAAAAAAAAACAAAAAAAAAACAAACAAATTTCCCTATCTACACCATCCACACGCACAAAAAAAAATGTTGAATCTCCCCTTCCAGGAGATTGTATTCTGACAGAGGCACTCTGCAGCCACTGATTGTTGGAAAGTCTTCCAACATGTACATTTGGCAGAAGTCGATTAAGG